ATAGCAATATACTGAATCGTAACCCCATATCATGATGTGCATTATATCGCCATACTGTACTGCAGATCAGATTAACAGTTAAATGTTCTTTACTTACTATGTTTACAATATATTATAATATTTTCTCCTCATGAGAGAATATCACAAATGTTCGTGAACCATTTCCCACTCTACTTAACATAATATCAACATATAAAAGCCTAAGCATTAGATTATTCCATATATTCTTATATTCCAGTGGTGCACATAGATTTTTATAATATTTTTCCTGCTTTACATAACTTTTTGTTGTTAATTCTCCTTATAGTGATCAGTAATCTTTAATCACATATAGTGCTGTGAATGTGTGCTCATACTGTAGCATGAGCTGTCCTAGTGAACCCAGGGTTAGGAGCCATTTGTTGTTATTGTATTGCCTATATTAGGTTCAGTAAAGTCACACAACTCCAAGAAATCTTTCACAATGCTGAACAAAAAACAAAAAAACAGTCCAGTAAAAGCAACATCTCCCTCCCTCTGTCTCTCCACAAACATTATAAACTCACCAGTCCTGGAGGTCAGAGGCGACAGATGACAATGATCTCACTTGAGATGTCAGAACATTGTCGCTTCAGAGTTAGCTAACCGTGTTGCTCACAGCTCGTTTTTCTTGTTTAGGAGGCTGAACCGGCGAATAAACCTTCGCACCTCACAGTCCATCAAACACGGCCCTGAAGTTCAAGTTTATGTTGTGTTTTTGTTATAGTTTTTGGGTCGAAAGGCGCAGAGCAAGAGAGAGAAACGTACAACTCGATACCTGCGCAAAGTGAAAGTGTTAGACTGACAGGCGGACGTTCTGCGCATGCGTGTCTGGGGGACAAGGGCGCATGAGGCTTTCTGCAGGACTACTCCCTCTGTTGGGGATTTCCATTCTCCTTCATACATCCATGGGGATTTCCCATCCAACCCACTCCCAAACTAAAGTGTATTATTGTGCATTAAGTGTTGTTGTTTTTTTCCATTTTTGCTATAAAAGCAAGGAGTGGCAGCTAAGTGTAGTTATTTCCTAAACTTGTGCAGGTTCTGAATTTGCTCACTAGATGGTGCCATATGAACAGCTTCAGTTCATGATCTGATAGTCTTTACATTGCATTATACAGTGCCTGAAGCTGTGTGTGTTGTACTTGAACAGATACTCACACTGAGATCAAGATCTCCTTTTTAAAAGAGGCCTGAACGCACAAAAAACATCTGTAAATAAAGA